TGAGGAAAGATTGCAATTTGGAAAACAACATCCATCGCCAAAGGTGTAACAGCTTGTTCTTTCAATCTCTTAAGAATTGAAGGTTTTCGATGTTGAAAGTCGTCAACCAGGGAATTCGACAAAGATTCAATTTCAAAGCGGAAGAATCCACGAACTCGGAGGGAAAGAACGATATTCGCGAAAAGAATGTGCATACTTTTGAAATACAGGGAGAATAATCTCTGTTGGCAGGCACCTGCGGAAACCAGCCCGCCCCCGTCGCGTTCCACCACCGTCAACCCACTGAACAAACTGCGCAATCGAAACCGGCTGCAAGTACACCCGAAAACAACGACCAGAGCCCCGGTGCCTCTGGCATCGTCGAGAAGATCGCCGTTGTTGCCACGCCGCAAGTCAACCGAGCCACCGGTTCCACCCAGCCAGGATGAACCGTCCGAGGAAGCGGAAGTAGTTTCCAGCTCCAGCGAGACCGAGCCGACCGAGCCTACGTCCGCCGAAAGCAGCACAGCTGCGAGCACGAAACACGAGGAGACCAGGGGACTGAGCGGACTGTTGGCACCCCGACGCAGGATAACGCCGCGACGACCTGGACAGATCGTCTCGCGGGAGTAACAACGTAAACGAAAACGGCCTCCTCCAGTTTCCACTTGCTCCTAGCTTTAAACAAGAGAAGAACGACCGAGCTCTCGAGGTTGGAAACGGCGAGGTGAAGGCCGACCGAGGAGCTGTTGTGCAGGAAGCGAATAGCACCAACGACGAGCCAAGACGATTCAAGAGATATCGCATCGATATTCTAAATCTCTTTCGTGCTCGAATCTCTCTGTGCCTGTGTGTGCGTACGAGAGGTAAATTTGTCGTCGACAATCTCCAATGTTGCTGGCCATCTCGAGGGGACCATCGGGCCTCGAGTTCAAGTCGCTGACTTCGAGGGACGCGCCTCTTTGTTTTTAAATGAAATCTGTCGGATTCCGATTTGATAGGTAAGAAGAAGACAGAATCGCAGAATATCCCCTGTAAGTTCCATTCGAGCTTTGTAATCTAGCCCTCGAAGTTTATCGACACAATGACACGCGAAAGTAAACGCTGAAACTTCTTTTACAGTTAAGTTTCCAAAAAAAAAAAAAAAAAAAA